CATACGAGGAGCAGGAGGACAAGCATCCCAGTCACAGAGAACAACTCGTGCAAAGGATGTGGAAAGCTTGGCACGCTCCAGGCACAGATGGAAGGTCAGTGTGCCTGGGAGATGTTGGATCACATGGCATCGGAGAGGAGGGTCAGATCCAGGTCATGGGAGCCTATGACGCCATCCTAGAGTCTGGGCTGACTTCTAAGCTCAGTGGAAAGTCATGGAAGGTTTTAAGGAGAAATAAATACTTCATGGCCTAATTTAATTGCAAGAGGGTTGGCCAGGCATAGTGGCTCATGCCTCTAATTCCCGCCCTTTGGGAAGCTGAAGTAGCAGGACTGCTTGAGGTCAGGAATTGAAGACCCAGCCTGGGCAACACTGCAAGACCCTGTGTCTATTTTATTAAAAATAAAATAAAAGGGGTCAGTTTGACTATTGGTAGGGGATGAGTTAGATGGGGCAAAAATAGATAAAAGGGGGCCAGATAGGAAGCTAATGTGTGATTCAGCTGACAGATGATGGTAGACTTGAAAAAGACGATGCTACAGAGGGGTGTGAAGGGAATGAACCCGAGATATATCCGGGACAGCAGCAGACGGAGTCCTTGATACATGGGGTTTGAGATGAGGGGGAGAGGAAAGGAAGCGTTAAGAATGACTCCTAGGTTTTTGACCAAAGCAACCATGTGGATGGTGGTGCCTTCGGTGGGGATGAGGAAGGCTACTGAGGGGCTGGACATGAGCTGGAGGCCAGAACAGGTTTGGGATGGGAAATCAGTAAGTTCATTTAGAATCACGAGTTTCATACAGGACACCACTGAAAAGTGGAACAACAGAGACATTATAACCACAAGCAGTTTCTTCGGAGTCTCTGTTGCCTTCTCTGTAAATGTGGAAAAATAATGCCTTCCTCCTCATTGTTGTAAGGAATGAATGAGGAAATATGCTGAACATCACAGCATGAGTGCTCAAAAAACTAACTTTCCTTATACAACTATAGCAAGTTCTAGGCAAAACCATTAACTACATCAGTGGCTCCCAGAATTTGGGTTTATTGACTGAGACAGTAACTTAAAACAATGGATAAAATTATGGGTGACTGCCAAATTCTTTTTTTTTTTTTTTTTGGGACGGAGTTTCGCTCTTGTTACCCAGGCTGGAGTGCAATGGTGCGATCTCGGCTCACCGCAACCTCCGCCTCCTGGGTTCAGGCAATTCTCCTGCCTCAGCCTCCTGAGTAGCTGGGATTACAGGCACGCGCCACCATGCCCAGCTAATTTTTTGTATTTTTAGTAGAGACGGGGTTTCACCGTGTTGACCAGGATGGTCTCGATCTCTTGACCTCGTGATCCACCCGCCTTGGCCTCCCAAAGTGCTGGGATTACAGGCTTGAGCCACCGCGCCCGGCCTGTGACTGCCAAATTCTTATTTTGCGAAGGTAGGACATTAGATAAACAACTACTAACCATGATCATCATCACTTTGTAAAAGAAATAATGTTTTAATACCGAAAAATGTGGGAAGGTCATTTGTTATTTTCAGCTTAACAGCAGTAAAGGATAATACTGTCAGCCTTTCTTCTCTCTCTCTCTCTTTTTCTTTTTTTTCTTTCTTTCTCTGTCTTCTCCTCCCCTCCCCTCCCCTCCCTTCCCTTCCCCTCCCCTCCTCTCCTTCTTTTTTCTTACAGGATTTCACTATGTTGCCCAGTCTGGTCTCAAACTGCTGGACTCAAGTGATCTTCCCATCTCAGCCTCCGAGTATCTGGGATTAGAGGCATATCCCGCCATGCCTGGCTATATTGTCACCTGAGCTTTCCAATGACCACTTCCTGTTCTATTTTCCCCTTGCACCACACGGCAGTGAACAGTGTCACGTGCAGGCACTGGGTGCATGGACACGTTTTGAGAAAACACTGAACTGAGCAGCAGCTGAATTCAGCCTCCTCTCCTTTGCTTGTTTGCATCCCTGATTCTTCTCTACGTTTTTCTCCTTGGTTTGCAAGGATTATGTTGTCCTTTCATCCCTCCTGATGGCAGCTATGGATGGTATCCCACTGTGGTAGTCACTATTTCCCATCATCCCCCTCTTCCTGGCCACCTAAAAGCCTACATTTCCCAGCTCCCTGCAGCTGGCAAAACAGTGTGACTAGTTCTGGCCAATAGGATGGGAGTACAAGTGTTATCTGTCACTCAGAGGTGGAAGCATTTAAGGGCCAGAGTGGGATTCTCTGTGATTTTTATTTTCCCCTCCATCCATAGTGAAGCATCTGTCAAAATGGAGATGCCACATATGAAAGCAACCACTGCATGGAGGACAGCTTCCCCAGAAAACCGCCCAGACTCACAGAGGTCTCTGCAGGAGCAAGGAAGAAACCTGTGTAAAGCTCCTGAGATTTTGGCATTGCTTATTACTGCAGCATGACTTGGTCTGCTTTAGCCAACGGCAACAAGACTTGTTTGACTTGAGCAAGCTTACATCTGATTTTGATAAGTATCAGTCTGAAAAGAAAACAATTCCTGTTTTTCAATTTTTAATTAAAAAAAACTATCTTGCATTTGCCTCCATTTGACCCATACTGGGATGCTAGGTTGAATTCTTTTGTTAATGATAATGAAATATCCTAGCTTGAACTTGGCTATAATGAATACATTTTAAACAGTCCTGCCAACTCCATTTTGCCCGCCCTGAGCTATGTTTGCCCACCTTATGTAGGGCATTCTGTTCCGAAAGCTTGTGGTCTAAGACACCTGGCATCTTTGTAACCAATTTTCTGAAAAACAGGGCCTACCAGCCCTGTATATCCTATATCTGTAACTGGGTAACTGCTACCCCACGTCCTGAGTAAAAAAAACAACTTTAAGTATAACTTTTTGTTAGGCATCCCCTTCTCCCCTAACTTGCTCCTTCTGCTTCTGTAATAATCTGCTTACCGCCCCCGACCCTAAACTGGTATAAAAATGTGGACCACCCTTTGTTCTGGACCAAGAGGTCTGAGCTCCAGCTGACTCTCGGACGCCAGCAGGCATAAAGATGGACTCTCAACAAACTCGCTCAGGTGTAACAATTTAAATAAAAATCTCATAACACTAGGATGAAAAAAAATCAGATATCCCCCAGGCCCCTTTATTACTCACCAGATGTGCCTTTAAAGCTGCTTTCTTTCTGGGCATTCTCAAAGAATCTTGATAAACGACTTATCTGTTGCATTTTCCTCAGGTTCTTGTTAAAACTTCTGTTATATAAAGTGCTAGGTAAACACAACATAATACGTTGTTCTGGGTTGTGTTCAAACAGTGAAATTGACAGTTCTCTAGTTAACTGGATCCAAGAAAGAAGCCAAGCCCACTTATTTGGATATCTTTAAAAGTAAATTGTTGATTACTACTCATTTGTTCTTAAGGCGTTTGTGGTGCATCTGCAGAATACTTGTCTCTGGTAAAAAAAAAAAAAAAAAAAAAAAAGATGAAAGATGGCCGGTGTGCCTGCATTTCGGGATGCCTTGGAGACATGCGAAGGCCTTTGGGTTTTACTCTGAAGACAACAGCTTCAGCCTCACATACTCCTAACTACAGTTCACTGAAGAGAGTGCCTTTTCCCATGTGTATGGAGCAAGTTCTGAGTCACCCTCATTGGACTTACCTGAGTTGGCTACCCACGTTGCATCATTCTGCCAAGGAATAGAATCTTGCTGATTGGCCAGGCCAGAGTCAGGTGCTCACTTTTAAACCAATCAATAATGGCAGGAGTCAGCAAACCACAGTCTATGAGCAGGTTGCCTGTTTTTGTTAATAAGTTTTATTGAAATGTGGCTACATCTATTTATTTAACGTAATGACTATGACTTTGCCACTACAGTAGAAGAAGTGAGCAGGAACAGAGACTGTATGATATGTTTGGCTCTGTGTCCCCACCCAAATCTCATCTTTAATTGTAATCTCCATGTGTTGAGGGAAGGACCTGTAGTCCCCATAGGTAGAGGGAGGTGATTGCATCATAGGAGTGGTTCCCCCATGCTGTTCTCACGATAGTGAGCAAGTCCTTAGGACAGCTGATGGTTTTATAAGGGGCTCTTTTTTCTGACAATTCTGGAGGCTAGAAATCTGAGATCAAGAGACAGGCAGGGTTGATTTCTCCTGAGGGTTCTCTCCTTGGCTTATAGATGGCTGTGTTCTCCCTGTGTCTTCATATAGTCCTCACTCTGTGTATGTCTGTGTCTTTATCTCTTCTTCTTATAAAGACACTAGTCATTAGTTTACAGCCCACTCTAATGACCTCATTTTAAGTTAACTACCTACGTAAAGACCCAATCTCCAAATATAGTCACATATTGAGGTCCCACGGTTTAGGAAGTTGACACGTGACTTTGGAGGGGGACTGAATTTATCCCCCAATAAGGGGATGGTGTGGTAGGACTGGTCATAGTTGGGTAACATGTTCCACAAGGGCTGAGTGAGGGGAGGTCATTTTTAAGTAGAAACCAGGATGTTTTCACTAAACTGCAGTAAAACCGATGCTGGCTGGCAAAAGAATTTGTCCAGTGACATTACTATTGCTCTGGGGGCTCTAGAAGAGGGAAATGAGTGGGCCGACTAGAAAGAATGCTAGAGGAAAAAATTCATGTTTGACAGTGGGAGGAACTGGACTGCTATGGAGATAATGAATCAAATACTATGTCAGAGGGAAGAAAAGTACACTGTCTTCAAGTGCAAAATAAAACAGCAAAACGGAAAGCTGTAAACACAGAAACCTTTTGTGCAACACAATTTTAAGCTCTTGTCTGTGAAAACCTTGGCATTAAAAATCAAGGGAAAATAGAAAAGATAAAGTGCTCACAAATTGTAGGTTTACATTAACTATGTGGATCTTTGCCAGGACTAAAAGTCCATGTTAGCAACTTAGCAAGGGTTCTTACAACGGCAGACATGGAGGGGCACACTGCCAAAAAAGAAAAGGAAATAGGCAAAAGGTACAGTTCAATATGTCCAGGAAAGGAATTCTTGGCTCACAAAAGGGAAAACAAGAATGACCCAGTTCCCATTGGCTTGTTTTCTTTATAGTGTCTAATAAGAAAATTACCCACATAGATTAGCAGTGAGCTAGCACAGTGGTTCCCCAAGTGTGGTCCCAGAGCACCAGCATCAACCTCAGCAACAGCATCCATAGGATGTGTAAAAAATGCAGATTCTCAGCCTTCACCTCAGCACAACCAAATCAGGAACTCTCAGGATGGAACCCAGCAATCTGTATTTTAACAAGCTCTCCACATGACTCTGGTCCACACCAAAGTTTGAGAACTACTGAATTCATGAATTTGGAATAAAATCTTTAAGCTAGGGATTACTCTATCTATTAGGATAAGATTCAGCTGCATATTAAAGAAAACTAAAATAAGAGTGGCTTACATAAGATAGATGTTCATTTTTCTTGTACATACGTGTAGCAGTTTAGAGGTGGTAGGATGGCTTCACGATCATCAGAGACTCAGGCTCCTCATAATTTTTTTTCTCCACTAAAATGCAGGCTTTTGTATTCAAAGTGCCTCATCGTTCAGTATGGCTGCTGGAGCTTCTTCAATCACATCAGTTTTTCCGGGCAGGACGTAGGAGGCAAAGGGGAAAGAAAAACGGCACATCTCCTAGTTGGTTCAGTCTTTTTGAGAAACTCCCTGGGAACTCCACCCAACAACTTTTGCATGTATAACATTGATTAACCCCATTGATTAAAGAGACCAGGACATATTCCTTTAGCTGGTAACATTGGTATATGAAATGAGGTTCTTTTAGTAGAGACAAGAGAAAGTGAAAATTAGTAGGTGACTAGCAATCTCTTCAGTAGTTGCAAACTGACTCAGCCTTAGGGTTTTGCAGCTTGGGGAGGGGGAGGTGTGTCCAGGGAGGGGAGGTCATTCCCTTTTTCTCAGAGAGGTGGTAAAAATTTTTAAGAGATTTGGAGAATGAGTTTTTGGGGAGAACTGCAGAGCTGGGGTTGAGCAAGCAGATTAAGGGGAGGAAGATGGCACAGGAAAGATTTTACTACTTGTGATGGGTCCATGTCTTTATTTTTTAATTTTTTATTTGAGATGGCGTCGCACTCTGTCACCTAGGCTGGAATGCAGTGGTGTGATCTCGGCTCACTGCAACCTCTGCCGCCTCCTGGGTTCTAGCGATTCTCCTGCCTCAGCCTTCTGAGTGGCTGGGATTACAGCTATGCACCACTATGCCCAGCTAATTTTTGTATTTTTAGTCGAGACAGGGTTTCATCATGTTGACCAGGCTGGTTTTTAACTTCTGACCTCAAGTGATCCCCTTGCCTCTGCCTCCCAAAGAGCTGGGATTACAGGTGCAAGCCGCCATGCCCAGCCATCTCATTTGTTTTGGAACTCATTAGACCACCACTTTCTACCCTGCTGGCCAGTATTTCCCCAGTGTCCCAGGCGCCAGTGTCATTACTGTCTAGTTTCTTGCTATTCAAAGTGTGGTCGATGGACCTGCAGCATGAACCTCACCTAGGAGCTTGGCAGAAATGCAGAATCTCAGGCCTGCCCCAGATTTACTATATCAGAATTGGCATTTAACCATCCCAGGTGATTTGTGTGCACAGTAAGCGAGAAGCCCCAGAATGTATTTTTACTTTGGTAGCCAGAACGAAGACTGGGGCACCAGCTGCATCACGCTTAGAAGGCATCTTTCCTTCTGTGCTCCTGGACACACTCATCCCTATATAAGGACATCATAATTTTTAAAATAAATTAATTAAAAAATTTAAAAGCCTTATATAAGGTTACCTAAATTTATAAGATATTGCCATTAAAAGTAATGGCAAAAAATGCAATTACTTTTGCACCAACCTAATAACATTGTGTATACAACATGATGCTTTGAAGTATCTATACGTTGTGGAATGGTTAAATCTAGCTAATTAACAGTTGCATAACTTTACATAGTAATCATTTTTGTGATTCAAGCACTTAACATCTCTCTTTGCACTTTTCAAGAATATATTATGGTGTCATTAACTACAGTCACCTTGCTGCACAATAAATCTCTTGAATGACTTCCTCCAGGGAAACTGTAATTATGTATCCTTTGACCCACGTTGTTCAGGTATACTGAAACAAAACTCAGCCACATCCCTTGATTTGCACTGGTCCTTGAACAGTGAAGGAGAAAACTTGGATTTGGCCCTTGGTTCCCTGAAGGAGGTTTGCAAGGTGAGAGAATGGCCCCTGACTGCAAATACTGCACTTTGTGTAGAAAAAAAGTCTGCCTGAATGGGCCAGGGTAAATGAACAGCTGGATATGGGGCAAAGGGAACCACATCACAGTTACCACGTGGGACTGGACTGACCATGGCGGGGCCCAATATGGCCTGCAGTGTTTGCTGCTCTGGCCCAGAGGCGGGAGCGGAGGCAGGTGATTGGCAGTGGACACAAGCAGACTCTCTAGAGGGCACAGGAGCTCTTAAAGGGCTGAACTTGAGACACAGAACTGTCTTTGAGCTCAAGGCACCATGGAGTAAGATTTAGAAAATGTCTCATTTATTGAGCAGCTACTGTATGCCAGCCACCATACTAAATGTCTCTTTTTTTTTTCTTTTGGTATATGAAAACTTATTACTACAGTGTTTTGACCATTAAAATTTATGAACTTGGTCTTTCTTTCTTGCCTTTGTATGGGGCCAAAAAAGAGACGTCGGCTACTTTGACAGCCTTAAAGTGGACTCCAGGAATATCACCAACAGCATGAACTCTGCGACCAAGTCCAGCAACCAGAGCGTCATCGTCTTCCTCAATAAAGTTCAAGCAACCGTCAGTGGGTACAAAGGCTGTGATTTTCTTGCCATTCTTGGTCAGCCGGACCCTGACACATCCTAATGGCAGAATTTGGCTGGCTTCAACTCCTACTTATTTCCAGCACAATTCCTTTTGCGTGAGAAGCACCTCTAAAAGGATTGCCCTTCAGGGCTGTGCCCAAATGGGCTTTCCTGTACTGTGTATCACGCCACTGCTGGTCTCATGGGTGACTGTGGAGCTTCCTGGCAGTATGAAGCCCATGACACTTGCCCATCCTGCCGGCGCCATGGTCCTGAGTGAAAGAGAGAAGCAGCAAGGCACTAAAATGTCTTACGTATACCATCTCATTCAACTGGAATCCTGAGAGGTAGCTCTTACTGTTGCCATTCTATAGATCAGTCAACTGAAGCTCAGAGAGGTTAAGCAGTTGTTCAAGAGTACTTGGCTCATAAGCGGTAGGGTGGGATTTCAGCCGAGGACCATCTGACCCCAAACGCAGGCTCTTCTTTTGCCATAAAGCATCGAGTCCCTCAGTTTTCAGAGCAGTGTGCTAGGAGTTAGGGTTTCAAGGTTCCTGGCTCAGGTTACCTTAGACACAAGGACCATGATCAAGGAGGGAATGCAATGCAGACTATATTTATGGTGGACGCAGTGCCTGCTGCCTGATGTCCTCTGTTTCCAGAGTTTTGTCTCTCTCTCGCTCTCTCTTCTCAGTTTTAAAGATAAGGGTCTTGCTCTGTCACTCAGGCTGGAGCACCATGTTGCAATCATAGCTCATTGCAGCTTTAAATTCCTGGGCTCAGTGATTCCCCTGCCTCAGCCCCCTGAGTAGCCAGGGCTACAGGTACATGCCGCCATATCAGCTTATGTAAAAAGAGTTTTTTGTTTTTTTTTTTGTAGAGATGGGATCTCCCTATATTGCCCAGGCTGGTCTTGAGCTCCTGGCCTGAAGAGATCCTCTTGGCTCAGCCTCCCAAGTCATGAGGATTACAGGTGTGAACCACCACACCTGGACTGGGTCTCTTTTGTATGTGTGTCTGGGTCTGAAAGTCCAAGGGGGCTTCCTGAATTGGACACCTTAGAATTCATCAGGACTGGGTGCATGAGCCACGTGGGTTCTACCAACTTGCCAGCCATAGGAAGGGAAGTCAGGTGCTGCTTTGTCTCCTTAATTCATGACATAGAAAGAGAAACGGGAAGAGGGAAGGGAGCCAAATGTGCATGAGTACAGAAGAGAAAGAAGAAGGGTCCAGTTGGTTTCTGCCTTTATCACAGGGCCCTGCCAGCTAGCAAAATGTGTGCCTCTGACTGTCTCTGTTACCAGTCCAATCGGCAAGTCCTCCCACAGAATATGGCATGAACAGAAAGGATGAAAATGTTGGGAAGAGACTCAAGTGATCTACTCCCTTAATTGCTGAGACAGTAACATTCCCCCAACTCCAGCTAGCAGGAGAGGTAGGAAGAGGGGGTGCCAAAGAATATTCTCCACTCTGAGAAATGCGGGTGCTTGTTGGAAAGCAGGCTGTGGGGTGCTGGTACCACCTAGTGTGAACTGGTGAGAACTGATTGTACACATCTCTTCCCAAGTCTTCTCAGCGATGTTGGATTGGCAGCTTGATATAGGTCAGGGTGGGAGCATTTACACCACAGAAACTGGCAAATGCTACATGGCAGTGGTTTGTTCCTGGAGAGCCAGTTGTTAAACATTTACCAGCACAGCCCTGAAAGGAGATATATGTACACATGAAAGATCCTCAGAGTAGAGCAACCAAAGAATGAATCAATAAGTTATAACTAATATTCGTTAAATCCTCTTACAACCCATAGGAAGAAAAATAAATCTCTGTAATAGATTTCTAAGCTCTGACAATGTGGCTTTTTTTTTTTTTTTTTTCAGAAATAGTTCCAGTGAATCCAGAGTTTGTGGTAAAAGAAAGTCCTGTGGATGATCCAAAAGGCATTGAAGGTGATGCCGAGGGAAGGACGGAAATGGTCGTTATCCCACCTAAGCCTGCATCGGGACTCCCCCGCTGGCTTGCACTCAGATTGATGGTCCCCATGCTCAAGTTCCAAATTCAGTAGGTTTGTGGTGGGCTGAGAGTTTCCCTTTCTAACATGCTCTCAGCTGATGCAGTGACCACACTTGTACTTTGAGAACTATTGGATTAGACTCAGGATCCAATCCTAAAGCATTTCACTAAGAAGTGAGAGTGAGGCCAGGTTTGGAAGGAGGTGAGTGTCATGCAAACAAACGAAGGCGTGCAGGAAGCGTACCACTTATGAAGCACCTCCAGTGCACTGGAAAAGAAGTGCAATGCATTTTACATCTATCATTTCCTTGAACATCCTCTCTCTTTAGTAAATGCATTTACAGAGATGATGTCATGCTAACAAATAAGCACAAAGTTCTAGAGAAATGACCAGTTTCTCCCCTGAGGAGACCTGAAAGCTAAGGTGGCGGACAGAGGGGAGGAGAAAGGAAAGTTTCTTTATTCTCCTGATTTCTGCCCTTGGATAATTGTCATAATCTACTAGAGATGGGCAAAACAGGGCAGAGATGGAATAAATTTGCCCTGTCTTGAATACCAGCCAAAGGAAGTGCAGTTCCAATGGGAAAAGTTTCCAATTTCCCAGTGCCTGCCTTGTCCCAGGACACCCACTTCCCTGCACTGCCGGTGCCAAGCAGAGGAAGGAGAGGGTGGGGTAGGAGGCAGCGCCGTTGCCGGCATACTGATGAGCAGTATTTCCAATCACCACCGCACTCAAGCTTTATGCTATTCTTCTGATTTTCTCCATACTGTGATTGTAGATGAAAACCATACTGCAGCACATCCAATTATAACCAGATTCCTAACCCCCAGGACTCCTTGAAGAGGAAAATGTTTATTTATGGCTATGAGGAACCATTAATCTCTGCACTTAACGGCACCACACACAGTTCTACAACAGGTGGAAGACTGGGTGCTCTCTCTCTCTCTCTCTGTCTCTCTCTCTCTCTCCCCCCCCGCCCCCCACTTTCCTTTCTCCAGTCATGCACTTCCTGAAGTCTCAGCTGTGCACTGTATTATAAATTAGGCCCTGTAATGTTGGTTTCATAAACACCTTAGTGATGGATCAATTGAATAAGATTTATTCTTTGGTCTCCTGTACTAGGATCATCTGCCCTCTCCAGTGGGATGTCTTATTTGCACAAAACTTCTCTTCATCAAAAGCAATGTTTGTTTGGGGAAAGCAGTGAGGGGGTCTCTGTCCTTGGAAAATGGGAAAATGAAGCATTTTGTGGTTTTTGGTTGAGTGACTGATTGCTATCGTGGAATTATTAGAAATCAACTACAAGTCACTTTTTCTC